CGCACCACTTGCAAACCTAAATGTGTTTAATTCCACGCCACCACTTGCAAACCCAAATGTGTTTAAAGGCATTCCACGCCAGCACTTGCAAACTTAAATATTTAAAAGGAACTTGCAAATCCAAAGTGTTTGAAAGGCATCCCAGGCCACCACTTGCAAACCCAAATGTATTTGAAAGGCATTCCACGCCACCACTTGTAAACCCAAATGTGTGTAAAAGGCATTCCACGCCACCACTTGCAAAATGTGTATAATTTCAACAGATTTGGGTTTGGAATGCCTTTTAAACTGCAAGTGGTGGCGTGGGACTTTTTAAACACATTTGGGTTTGCAAGTGGCATGGAATGCCCTTTTCACACGTTTGGGTTGCAAAGTGGTAGCGTGGAATTAAACACATTTGGTGGCCTGGAATGCCTTTTAAACACATTTGGGTTTGCAAGTTGTGGCGTAGAATGCCTTTCAAACACATTTTGGGTTTGCAAGTGTGGAATGCCTTTTTAACACATTTGGTTTTAAATTAAACACCAAGCGGTGGCGTGGAATGCCTTTAACACATTTTAAGTTTGCAAGTGGGGTGAAATGCATTTTAATTTGGATTTGCAAGTGGTGGCGTGGAATGCCTTTTTAAATACATTTTGTGGAAATATAATGGTTTCTAAATCCTGACCATTGGGCTTGGTTTAGTGGAAGAGCAATATGGATATCTGCAAGTTTTCTGTAAGTGCCAGCTTCTGCCCTCTTGGTGTTAGCAAATGATGGATTGGCTATATGCATTGCTTTTGGAAGGCAACGCATTTGCTTCTGGTATGTTGTGCAAGTTTGGAGCTTGCATAATCTGCGTGGGCACGGGCGTTTTCTTGCTGGAGAAGTCTTTTGCAAAAGCACTGAGCCTGGACTGTGAGACATGCAATGCTGAGCTGCTAACTTGCCTGGATGGATCTCAGCTAAGAACCCAACAGGAAAGTTTGCATGCTGAGCGTGTCATGGAGAGTTTTGGAAGCATGTCATGCGTTTGTAAAGTAGGCCTTGGTTGTATAGTATGGAAGCTTTTGTTGCGAAATTTTGTTTTGGCAGCAGCTGCGTGTTAACAAGTTAACAAGCAGCAGGGAGGAACAACCAGCTGAAGCTGGAAGTGTCTCATGCTTTGAATGCGTGGCTCAAGTCACGCAGAGGAGCAAAGTGTCAAAGTCGTAGCTTGAACAGCACTGTAAAGAAGCTTGAACGACATGTCTCAGCTTGGTGAGCTTTCGCTTTGTGCGCGAACAAACAACCTGTGCAGGCGCTTTGGGGGTTCTAGGGTTTGGTAGTTTTACATGGTAGCGGAGCTCTGAGAGCTTCCACACCAGTTCCGCCAACCAGTGTTGTGATGTCTGATGCTCAGATGCCCGTAGGGCCAAGTCCTGAGGCACCAGCTCCACTTAGTCCAGGCCTTGCAGAGGCTGGAGGTGAGTGTGGGGAAGGGTCGAGGCATGGCAAGGCAGGTCACGGAAAAGGTGCGGAGAGACGTGGGAGCATGAGAGCAGATGATCCATGGAGTAATGGAAGTCAACCTGACCCTTGGGCTCGCTATGGCAGCTTTCCAGGACAAGTAAGTGCAACCAGAGTGCGTGTGAACGTGCCAGTTCCACCTTCAACTCCTTCGTCGTCCGAAATGGTGAGAGAGAGAGGAGAGCGTGAGGGTTTTGCAGTGCCACCTGGTCTTGCAACAGTCCCTAACATGTCTGCGCTGTACAGGGGAAGCGTGAGCAAACAAGCAGTAGGTGTTGAAGTAGCAGGACAAGCGTACGACAATGTGACAGGTGCACGGCAGTTGATAGGTCGCATGAATGAGCAAGAGTTGCGTGCTGTCTTCATGGACTTAAGTCAGCGGTTGAAACAGCAGTCAGGGCAGTTTGTCCCGGAGAGGCTGGGGCAGTCACCTCCTGATCCCAGAGTGCCGGCATTTGCAAGACCAGAAGGGGCGTTGACGTTGCCCATAAGTTCTGCAAGTCACGAGCAGGGTCGGGGGGATGATCGTGATGTTTTTAGTCGCAGCGAGAAATGGCTTGGTTCTCCTCCAAGTCCAGAGCATGCTTCTTGGAAGGGGCGTGAAGGCGAGGTGCTTGGCATGAATGCTTACATTCACGAGCTGGTTGCGTGGGCAAACCAGGCAAGTGTGGAGTTTGGCAAGGAGATTGCGCAGGCGGCTCGCTGGCCCACCCAGATAGCGTGGAACTCTTTGACGAAGAGTCAGCAAGCTCGGGGAGTGCGGCTGTTTAGTGTTTTAAAGGCGGCGTTTTCGGACCATGGTCGCATCACGTTGATGATTCAGAGCTTTGGTGAAGGCTTGGACATTGTTGCGGTTGCGATGCAAGGAGATATGTTTGGTAACTCGCTTGCGTACATGGGCAATGGCTTTGAACTCCTGAGGCAGCTTGTGCGTGAGTTTTCTTTGCGAAGTCGAGCTGAAGCAATGTCACTGCGTGCCATGTTGATGGCGAGAACGTTTCAGACACAAAGTGGCACGTCAGCTCCGGTTGCTGATACTGTTCGACAAATCGAGATCGCTGTGGCAAGGTACCTACGTCTGTTGTCGACACTTGAACCTGGTGATGCAGTTGGGTTGGGCTTGACTGACAGTGATCAGCTCACTTTGCTCATCAGGTCGTTGCCAGATCATGCGAGGGCGTACACGTTGCACCACTCGCAAGGTGAAACCTATGGGTCTTATCGTGCGTCGGCGTTGCGTTGGGAACAGCAGCAGAGACTCTTCATGGAACTGCATGGTCATGGTGCGAAGCATGTGTTTGGCCTGCATACTGAAGAGGCACGTGAACATTCGGATACTCTGAACGTTGCAGAGAATGAGTGGGGTGGTCAGTTGCTTGCAGCAAAGGGTGGTGCAAAGGGGACAGACATGGAGAGGTGTGGACGTTGTGGCAAGCAAGGCCATGCCACCAGCCAGTGTTCTGTTAGTCTTGCGAAAACCAAATGCTTCAAGTGTGGAGAGTTCGGCCACATCTCAGTGAACTGCAGCAAGAGCAAGGACACAGATGCGCGAGCCGTTGTCGGACCTAAGGGCAGTGCGTCACCAAAGGGGTCTGGGCTGCCAAAGGGGTCTGCAGAAAGGTTGTTTTCGCCAAAGAAGGGGTCCTCTTTCTCAAAGGGAAAAGGAAAGGGCCAAGGCGGGAAGAAGGGCAAGCTTTTTGCGATGTTCGATGAGGAGTCGGGCATGTGGTGGTACGCAGAAGCGGGCGGGGATGAGACCTTGGAGGAACCTTGTGGGGAACCAACTTCCGCTGAGCCGAGTGCTGAGACTGTTCTCCTACTGTCCTCTTTGTTGTCTGCTGAAAGAAATGAGCCCAATACGCGTTTTGAACATGTCCTCGCTTGCATTGAGAGCGTGCCGGCGTTGGTCTTGTGTCAGCCGTTGCTCCAGTCAGTCCAGGAGACGTTGGGATCTGAGTACTGGCTGCTGGACTCAGGCGCTTCGAGCTGTGTGGTGACCCGGAAATCGCTTGAGCAGTTGCATCATGACGAAATTGTGCCTTGTGGGGCACTCTTTACCGCAGCAAATGGCGCCCCGGTTCCGTTTCTAGGACGTTGCAGTGTTGTTCTGCGTGTACGCACGCGGAATGAAAAGGGAGTCATCAAGGATGGTGTGTGCAAAGTGCCAGTGATGGTTGGTGACACTCCCTATAACATCCTGTCGACGCGCGCGCTTGGTCGGTTGGGTTGGCGAGTTGTGTTGGATGAAGGGGTGCATGTGTCGCACGTGAGAACTCCTGTTGAGATGATTGTCACGTGCATCTGGTGCGACACTCCTTGGATCAAAGTCCTGGACAGCTCAGGTCATGATCAAATGCTGACCTTGTTTGAAGAGGGCGTGTATGAACAAGATGTTGCTACGTCAGCGTCCGTTGGGCATGTTGCTGTGCTTTCCCGGCGTACGCAGGAGGAACTTGAAGTCCATCGAACAAAGGGACATGTGCCTTTTCATCCAGACTGTGAACACTGTGTAAAGTCCCGGGAAGTGAATCGGCATAGGCGTCGCTTGGAGCATGGACTTGAGACTGAAATTGTTGCCGATTTTATGTACTTGAGTGCTGCTGGCGAGTCAATCAGTGTCGTTGAGAGACAGTCCGGAGATACCATGAAGATCTTGGTGCTGCGTGAGGCCTTCTCGTCGTCAGTAGGTGCCATCGTCATGACTGAAGATTTGAGCAAAGACCGAAGCTTGCTGAACAAGTGGTTGGCAGAGTTTGGTTTGTCAGCCTCTGTGGTGAGCATTTCCTTGCTTACGGATGCCGAAGAAGCTGTGAAGTCGTTTGTTGTGGGCAGCTCTGATAAGTTCACCTTCCTAGTGAGGAAAGCCGCGCCGCAGGCGCATGAGCAGATTGGGGGGGCTGAACGCACAGTGAGAATGCTGAAGGAAGGACTTGCTACACTTCAAAGCGATTTTCAGAGCTTAGGGTATGTTCTTGTCTTCCGTCGAGATTTGATGCAGTTGGCGCTTACGTATCTGTGCATGAGTGTGAACGTTAATGGAAAGGCGTTTGGTGGCGACCGGGCTCCAAAGGAGATTGCCGTTGGGCGGCGGCTACCTGAAGCCGTGTTTGCGCTTTTTGGGACCAAAGTTTTGGCTGAGGTTCCTGACTCAGTGAAATGCTTGTGCCCAAACATGTCTCGCTTTGTGACGGCAGCCTTCTTGCATCCTCAGTTTGGGTCGTTAGGCAACTTGGTGTTTGCGTATGTGCGTGTTGGCCAAGAGTTGGTGCCTAAGGCATTCGTGGCGAGGTCCATCAAGCTTGTCTACCCGATTGAGGTCCTCTTTGAGTCTGGCATGTTTTCAGTGCTGAAGGTGAAGGGTGAGCAAGGGCCGAGTGCAGTGAGAGGAGACTGTTGCGCCGAGAATTCTCCCTGGTTCTCAAGGCGCTTCACTGAAATGCCCTGTGTCAGGTCCGCCAAAGGAGATCTTTGATCGTTTTGGTGCGTCTGCTGGGTGTCGAGCTTGGGACTCCATGGTGCGTTTTGGGTCCCGAAAGGGATTGTCTCATGTGCGTGCGTGCTGTGAGCGCTACGAAGCTTGGTTGCGATCTCAGGTTGTTGATGACGTTGGAGAGGAAATGGTGGTGCAAGCGCCGCCTGCTCAGGTGCCTCCTGTGCAGGAAGTCGTTGAACAAGAGGCGCGCGCCCCAAGTGTTGTGCACGACGCGCTGTCAGCCCTGGACGCAGAAGGAGAGCAGTCTGTGGATGACTCCGTGGGTGATAGTGTGCAAGTTAGCCCTGCTAAGAAGCCTCGCACTGACGGGCAGGAGAAATCAGCAACTGTGAGCGCTGATGTGGAGTCAAAAGAAGCCCATGTTTTTACACGCGGTTGCCCGGCTTGCGAGTCTGGCATGGATGTGCCAGGGATTCGACACAATGCTGCGTGTAAGAGACGACAGAAGGTCAGATTCCAAGAGCTTGAGGTTGCTGAAGTTGGGCCTGTTGTGCAAAGTGAGTCGTCCCAGAATACTGCGTCCTCGTCGGTGAGTCAGGTTCCAATTGCAACTCAAGTTGATGATGATGAGGACATGCCAATGAGCGAAGGCGTTGAAACTGAGCCTGTGATGCATGCGGGCAACACCAAAAGGTCCTCTGAGATCCCTGTTGACGAGCTTGAGCGTGAGATACGACACGGTGTGGAGGGATGCATGATGGCAGTGCGTAACTGTGAGACAGGGAACGACATCTTCATGCTGTTGGCCAGTTTCGTTGAGCAGGTGTTTCAGGTGACTGAGCATGTGCCTTTGCTTTCCGGCTTGTTGGATTCAGTGCAATTTGCTCCAAATGCTACCAGTGTCGTGTTGCCTTTTGGGAAGCGTTCGCATCTACGAGTTTGGCGCCCGAGATCAGCAGTTGATGATTCGACGTTGTCTGAGCTGCCAGGTGATGAAGTCATGGAGGGAATGCTCAAGGAAGTGAACAACCTGAGTCACATGGAGACCGGGGATCTGCTAACGGCTTCTGAGTTGCAGGCACTTGAGAAGAAGTTTCCTGGAACCTTGAAGGTGATTCCAAGTCGATGGGTGACAACGCGAAAGACTCCCACTACAGTGCGAGCTCGAATCGTCATTAAAGACATTGCAGGAAAGAGCTCAGAATCTGCAAGGTCTTTGGGGATTTCGAGTCCTACCCCCAGGAAAACCCATGAATCCAGAAGTTAAAAAGAATTAAATCCTGATTTAATTGTTGCTACCTCGACATACCTTATCCCTACAAAAACACAATTAAATCGTGATTTAATTGTGTTTCTTTGCGTTTGACTGGAAGACAATTAAATCGTGAGTTAATGGTGTAGCAAAGACTTGTGCTAATTTGTACCTGTTTGCACCATGAAATCATGATTTAATTGCACTATTATTACTACTATTACAATTAGACTTATTACTACTATTACTATTAGTCTTATTTTTCCTATTACGATGAGTCTTATTATTACTATTACTATTAGTCTTATTATTACTATTAATATTAGTATTATTATTACTATTACTATTACTATTCCTATGATTATTATGTTTACTACTATTATTTTCCTTATTCTTCTTCTTATTATTATTTTTCTTATTGCTATTACTATTACTATTACTATTACTATTGCTATTGCTATTGCTATTGCTATTGCTATTGCTATTGCTATTGCTCTTCTTCTTATTGTTACTGATATTATTAATATTATTACTACTATTATTATTATTCTTATTATTATCATTATTACTATTACTATTACTATTTCTATTACTATTGCTTTTATTCTTCTTCTTATTGTTACTACTATTATTATTATTCTTATTTTTTTCCTATTATTATCATTATTACTATTACTATTATTATTACTATTATTATTATTATTTTATTACTATTATTATTACGATTATTATTACTATTATTATTACTATTACTTTAGGGGGAACAATTAAATCGTCATTTAATTGTTGAAAGGTTGGGGGGGAACAATTAAATCGTGATTTAATTGTTTCTGCGGGTTGGGATCGTCTAGCAGAAACAATTAAATCCTGATTTAATTGTGTTCCTTGAGCAGCTTGCCGGCATGGCATGCTGCGTCGCGCGACGTTAACAGGCAATTAAATCGAGAGTTAATTGTGCTGGACCTAAGGGGCGTCGAGCCGGCCCGATGCCGGTCAATTAACTTCAGAGTTAATTTTCCTTAACTCTTGGATTCACTGTCTTCCCTACCCCCAGTGCTGACGCGTTGTTTACTGTGCTCGGCATAGCAGGTTGTCGTGACCTTGTGTTGTCAGGAGGTGATGTGTCGCATGCTTTTATGGCAACGCCGCTGCGCGAGCGTGATGTGGTGATGAAGTTTCCTCTTTCAGTGTCCACGGTCAGCGGGGAACCACTATATCTGCACTTGCGTAAGGCCCTGAACGGGCTACGCAAAGCTTCACAAGAATGGATCTGTTTCGTTGCGGAAGTGGTGAAAAGCATTGGTTCAGGCCTGCGCAGTTGCTCTCTGGAGCCTTGCCTCTTTTCCGGCTTGTTGGAGTCAGGGCCGTGCATACTGTTGGTGTATGTTGACGACTTTCTCTTGATGACACCAACAGAAGAAGACGCGAACCGCATCTTTGAGGCCATTGAGCGTTTAGTGGAGTTGAAGAGAACAGGGGTGATTCGATCTTCAGCAGCTGGAGGCGGGGTGTTGAGATTCATCGGTCGTGTCATCTCTCGTAGGAAGGGTGAGGCTTCGTTGACTGTTTCTTTGCCACAGGACTATCTTGATGACACCTTTAACGCCTATGGGTTATCTGGAAAAGGAACTTCAAGTCCACCGGACGTTGCAGTGCATGTAGAAAAGGAAGGTGGGCTGCCACTGAGTCCTGAGGCTTACGCGCGGTTCAGGCCGGCGCTGGGAAAGGTGGCTTGGATGACGCAGACACGGCAGGACCTTCGAGCTTATGTTTCAATTCTGGCCACTCAACAATCAATCCCAACCAACAATACCGAGCAGGGACTGCGGGCCTTGCTGCGGTATCTACAGAACGACATGTGCGTGGCTGTGAGGTTGCCTGCGGCCAGTGACGTTCTACATCAGCAGAAACATTTTCCACAGCAAAAACACATGGTCTGTTTTTCGGACGCGTCGCACGCTCCTCTTCGTTGCACCAAAAGACGAGGTATTACTGGAGGAGTGTTGACAGTAGACGGGTGTGTTGTCAAAACCTTATGTCGACATCAACAGCTTGTGTCGCTATCTAGCATGGAGAGTGAACTGTTTGCCTTGCAAGCTGTGGCGCAGGAGATGTCAAGCTTGGGGAAATTTCTCGGCAGGGTTTTTGGTACGTTTGGAGAAGTGGAGGCTGCAGAGATCCCAGGTGTCTTGTTTTCGGATTCAGAGTCCTCACTGAAGCTTCTGAAGAACATGGACATTCCTAAGAGGAGTCGCCACCTTGAGATACGTGTTGAGTGGCTGAAGTCGAGGGTTGTTGAGGGTCAGTTGGTTCTTGCCTTTCGAAAGGGGGTGGACAATCCGAGTGACCTACTCACGAAGTGCCTTGGAAGTGCAGCCTTTGGCATCCATCGACAGTCTCTTGGCTTTGAGCTTCTTGCGAGTCCGATCTGCAGCTTGGCTCATGCAAGTAGGCGCTACGTTGTCGTGGAGGTGTGTTGCCGGGAACAGTCGAGCATTCAAGCCGTGTGCAGCATGTTAGGTGTATCGTACGCGGGTGTGTGCGCCAACATGCAAAGCCCGAAAGTGTTCGCAAGCCTGAAGTCCTACCCTGCAAACTTTGAGAAGAGTGACGTTTTTGTCCATGTATCCACCCCATGCTCCTCCGGCTCGCCACTTCGAAATTTCACGCATGGAAGGGTATCGTCTGAGCAAACACGAGCTGATTGGGAGTGGTTTGAAGTGTTCCCGTGCGTTCGAAAGTACTTGCGTCTTGGAAAGCATTCTAGCTTTGAGTTGCCTTGGAACAATCGAATCTGGAGCTATGCGATGTGTAAGAGGGTTCTACGCGAAGCTAAGCATGATTTTGAGGTGCCTGTGAAGCTCTGTGTGACGGGTTTGACGGCAAAAGGGGGGGAGCCTATCGAGAAGGTTTTGGGCTTCACCTCAACATCTGAGCGTTTTGTGAGTGAGCTTGCTTGCTTTTCACGTTGTGAGTGCTTGCAGCATGCGCGCGCAATACATGTAGCGTGGTTAGACACTGGTTTTTACACACCGAAACTTGCTGAAGCAATTGTGAAGGGTGCTGTGAAAGCATTGCGGGAAACCTGAGAGGTGTGAAGAGTCTGAACGCCTGACCTCCTGAGGAGGTGGATTTTGGGGTTCTTTGCGCCTGCTTGGGCTGAAGTTCGTGCGTTTTCGCTAGCTGTTGCGTATATACCAGTTCGAAGCTAGTGGTGCCTGCAATGGTGCTCACCGAAGATGAGCGTCGTGAGTTGCAGCGCTTGCTGGCAAAGTCAGCAGCAGCAGAGGTTGTGCATACCGAAGGCAGCATGACCGATGCGCCCAAGCGACGCCGCTTTGAGGGTGACGACGCCAAGACCAGTGGGTATTTTGGCAGCGAGCAGCTACCGATTTCGAAGGCTACCGCGATGACTGCTGTCGTGAAGACGAGTGGATCAGCGAGCAGCCAGCGAGCAAGCTTGGCCGAAGATGATGGGGAGGATGACCAGTTCCTTCTCGTCTCCTATACAGGGGGCGAAGGGGCATTTGAAGTGAGCCTTCCGGAAAACACTACGAAATCTCAGTGGGATCGCACCATCGCTGAATTGCCGAAGCTCAATTCGGTGAAGGAGTGGAAAGGAAGAACCTACGCTGCTTTGGTGGAGATGAGTGCCACCAATGCGGAGTTGACAAAGTACCTTGCTTGGGTTCGAACGAAGTTCGGACATGAATACAAAGGTGGTCAGCCACGTTCCCAGGCAGTGGACCTGGCCGGTTACCTTACCTATGTGGGCTTTACGAAATCCAGCGGGTTCCAAAGGAAGTTGGCGCAGTGAACTCTGAAAGGAACGAGCAGCATTGTTGGCTACTGTTAGAAGGCTTGGAGAGCCTTCGCTTTGGGTAGCACTGCAGTGTGGCTTGCGGGAAGAGTTTGCTGCTGGTTTGGCTTTGAAGAATAGTGCAGATGGCATCGTGAGGCCCAGCTTTTCCGGGCTGGCAATATCGAAAGCAAGACCTTTTGAATCGTCTTGGCCTTTGCGTGAATGCAACCTTTGACTGGGTGTGGGAACCAGCAGAGATGAGTCCCTCTTCACTACTGGGTATCACATGTTTGGAATTCAGTACAATTCCGCTTCGCTTCCACATGGACTATACGCAGCTGCTTCTGTGCCTGCTTGATGCTTATCCGTGGCAATATGTCTTTTGGCGTTTTTTTCAGCGCCGATATCCACATCGAAAGGGGGTGTGGAAATATATATGGTTTCTGCATCCTGGCCATTGGGCTTGGGTTAGTGGAAGAGCGATATGGATATCTGCGAGTTTTCTGTAAGTGCCAGCTTCTGCCCTCTTGGTGTCAGCGAATGATGGGTTGGCTATATGCATTGCTTTTGGAAGGCAATGCATATCGCTTCTGGTATGTTGTGCAAGTTTGGAGCTTGCATGATCTTTACTGCGTGGGCACGGGCGTTTTCTTGCTGGAGAAGTCTTTTGCAAAAGCACTGAGCCTGGACTGTGAGACATGCAATGCTGAGCTGCTAACTTGCCTGGATGGATCTCAGGGGTTGATCTTGAAGGCAGAAGCTGAATCTCGTGATTTCCCTGAAAATCAGACAATTTCGCCTTGGGCGGAATCTCGGGTTTTTTCCTAAAAAACCGACAATTCGGCCTGGGGCTCCTCAGCTGAGAACCCAACAGGAAAGTTTGCATGCTGAGCGTGTCATGGAGAGTTTTGGGAGCATGTCATGCGTTTGTAAAGTAGTCCTTGGTTGTATAGTATGGAAGCTTTTGTTGCGAAATTTTGTTTTGGCAGCAGCTGCATGTTAACAAGTTAACAAGCAGCAGGGAGGAACAACCAGCTGAAGCTGGAAGTGTCTCATGCTTTGAATGCGTGGCTTCAGAGGAGCAAAGTGTCTGAGCGAGTCGTAGCTTGAACAGCACTGTAAAGAAGCTTGAACGACATGTCTCAGCTTGGTGAGCTTTCGCTTTGTGCGCGAACAAACAACCTGTGCAGGCGCTTTGGGGGTTCTAGGGTTTGGTAGTTTTACACATTTGGGTTTGCAAGTGGTGGCGTGGGATGCCTTTTAAACACATTTGGGTTTGCAAGTGGTGGCGTGGGATGCCTTTCAAACACATTTGGGTTTGCAAGTGGTGGCGTGGGATGCCTTTTAAACACTTTGGGTTTGCAAGTGGTGGCGTGGGATGCCTTTTAAACACATTTGGGTTTGCAAGTGGTGGTGTGGAATGCCTTTTAAACACATTTGGGTTTGCAAGTGGTGGCGTGGGATGCCTTTTAAACACATTTGGGTTTGCAAGTGGTGGCGTGGGGTGCCTTTTGAACATATTTGGGTTTGCAAGTGGTGGCGTGGAATGCCTTTTAAACACATTTGGGTTTGCAAGTGGTGGCGTGGGATGCCTTTTAAACACATTTTGGGTTTGCAAGTGGTGGCGTGGGATGCCTTTTAAACACATTTGGGTTTGCAAGTGGTGGCGTGGGATGCCTTTTAAACACATTTGGGTTTGCAAGTGGTGGCGTGGGATGCCTTTTAAACACATTTGGGTTTGCAAGTGGTGGCGTGGGATGCCTTTTAAACACATTTGGGTTTGCAAGTGGTGGCGTGGGATGCCTTTTAAAACACATTGGGTTTGCAAGTGGTGGCGTGGGATGCCTTTTAAACACATTTGGGTTTGCAAGTGGTGGCGTGGGATGCCTTTTAAACACATTTGGGTTTGCAAGTGGTGGCGTGGGATGCCTTTTAAACACATTTGGGTTTGCAAGTGGTGGCGTGGGATGCCTTTTAAACACATTTGGGTTTGCAAGTGGTGGCGTGGGATGCCTTTTAAACACGTGGGATGCCTTTTAAACACAGTTGGGTTTGCAAGTGGTGGCGTGGGATGCCTTTTAAACACATTTGGGTTTGCAAGTGGTGGCGTGGGATGCCTTTTAAACACATTTGGGTTTGCAAGTGGTGGCGTGGGATGCCTTTTAAACACATTTTGGGTTTGCAAGTGGTGGCGTGGGATGCCTTTTAAACACGTGTATGTACTTGTACAGGGGTGTTTGCTGCATGCACGCAACGGCATAGCATGTACGCCTGCGAGGCTGCCCGCCCACAGTCTTGGCTCGCAGGTTGGTAATGCTCTTCGGTGCTATCCGTTACGTGCAAGCAAAAACTTTAGTTGCTTTTTTTGTTAGGACTGCACTCTGCATACCGCCCCGCGCCATGGCTTGATCGGCTGTCTTTGGGTTTCCCATTACAGCTTTGCGAGTTCGGGTCCGGTATCGCCGCCCGCTACTCAAGGACTCTCACCGCTGTGCTGAGTCGTTCCTTCTGCCGCTGCAGTTGGAACTGTGCCGCCTGCCGCTGCAGGTGCGAGCACCGCACCTCTGGATCGCTTCCAGTCTGGTGCCGCACTCAGTTTGTACCGCGTACATTCTGCTGTGCTTTGGAGCCTGCAATCCGCTGATTCAGGTCTCCCGCTGCTGCTGGGTCCTTACCCTCAGTGGCCTGGCGCTCGGACGTTTACTTGTTCCGCTGCGCCTAGCTCCTCCGTACCGCCTGCCTGCTGTCCGCTGACTCAGGCCAGGTCTTTCTGAGCACCGCGTGCTCGACGTTTGGTACTGTGAGGACGCCGTACATGCCACATGCACACATGTTTGCACACATGTCACTCTCTTGCGTTTTTTGTCATGTCCGGTTTGGTTGAGCCGTGTTCTTTCAGTCATGTCTGCTCCGCATACTTTCTGCCGCCCTGCTGCAGCTTTCTTGATGATCACGAGCTTCAGCTTCTTGCTTGACTTGCCAGCCCGAGTTCTTGCCATGTCGCACCGTGTGCAGACTCCGACTCCGGCCCAGGCTGCTGCTGCTGCTGCCGTTGCAGCTGCCTCTGCCCAGTCCGACCCCGTCTGCAACCGCCTCCGCAACAGCCGCGGCCGCCCCTGCAGATGTTGAAACCGCCGCCGACATCCGTGCCAGGGACTCCGCCCGTCAGGCAGAGCTGCTTCACTGCTGGCACTCCATCTGCGAACACACCCCGGAAGATGCTGCCCGCGCTCTCGGTTCCCTTCCGCTGCAAAGTGTGCTTTTTTTGTCGAGGAGGTCGCCCACGATGTTGTCATGGACCGCCTCTACAACCTCCCGCAGAACTTGCTGGACTAGCTCCAAGGCTCCGACCGCCCACCTACCCGCAGTTTCCGTGGTACCCGCTGGGCAGATGAGGTTTCCGACGAAGGCGCTGCTCTGCACATTCCGCCAATGCCCGCAAGCACTGAGCAGCCCCCGCCAACGCCCGCTCCACACTCCACAGCCCAGGGAGCGCGCTCCGAGCCGTTGCCCCCTGAGCAGTCGGCCCCGCCTGTGGATGGGTCTGCCCGACCTGCCGAGCCCGTGCACGGTCCTGTCCCGGAGCCCTCCGCCCAGCCAGCCGAGCCCGTCCGTGCCGCAGCAGCAGAGCCGTCTGACACCTTCTCTGCCCGCCCGCAGCGCCATCGGGTTGAGCCCCGGCCCACCCGCCACGAGCACCTGCACTTCGACCCAGCCGTTGGGCATCGTGCCGCCCCCGCCGATACCGCAAGCCAGTCCAGCCGCACCGACCGCTCCCGCCTGCCGGTCGTGTGCCCCACAGCCGCCTCCGCCCGGACGAGCTGCTCAACTTCGAAATGGGCTACTCGGAGTCCCCGCAGTCCGGCCCATGGAGCACCGCCGAAGGCTGGGACTTCCAGATAGCTCTGTCCGCAGCCCCCGCAACCGTCGTCCGCCCCGCCTGGTGGCCCTACGCCGACCTCTTCTGCATCCACGCCGATGAGATCCCGCGCTGGCTGCAGTCCCGCCTTCAGCCGCCTGCTGATGCCGTGGCCCACCTGAAACTCCGCGGGTACTGCACCCACATCTGCCCGACAGTGAACGACCCTGACCGCAGTCCGCTGTGTACAGGCCTTTGCTTCCGCCCGGTTATGTTCGGCGAACGTTCCGGGCACAAGGAGCACCAGTGCTCCGCGTGTCACCGCCTGCTCACAATGTGAGCTTCCGCAAGGTCTCTGCCCGAGTTCCGCCATTTTGCTGCGGTCCTAGACCTTCCGCTCTCCGCGTTTCCGTTCCCTCCGTTTTTTGAAGAGCCTGGTTCGTGCGGCCAACCCTGGGTTTTGAAAAATAGCCCTTAGGTTGCCTTGGTTCGTTGGCCCTCGTTCCGCTGGCTCCGCTCAGTCCCGAGTTGCTCCCGCCTTGCAGCGAAAAGATGCCTTCCCGTGTTTGCTGGCGTTTTGCATCTGCATCTGCATGTTGCTTTCCTGGGTTGCGTTTTTTGTTCAGGGTCGCTCTGCCAGGACATCACGACGACGATGCAGCAGTTGCCTGTTGAGGATGCTCCGCTTGGTCCTCCGCCCGCTGCTCCTTCCGAACTTCCTGCTCCAGTGGATGAGCCTGCTGGCGATCCTGCCACTCCCGTGCAAACCCCTTCCAGCTCCCTAGCACAGCCAGAGAATGTTAGCCTGCCCTCTCTTGCAGCTCCCGTTGGTGCCCCAACCCCAGTGCACCCACCTTCGGGACTTCTGGTGCCTCCGCCCCTTGCCACTGCAGACGTGACCCCATCGCCTCTTGAGGTGGATTGCTCCTCGCAGACTCTTGCATTGGATAGCGGGGCCTTGCCTCCCAATCCAGTCACCCCCCCCCCTCCTGTTGAAATGCATGCTTCCCCTTCGTCCGTTGGTGCTCCCCCGCCCCCCGTGCACCCACCTTCGGACACATCCGCATGCTCTGAGTCCGCCTTCGGTCTCCCTTGTCCCCAGGAGAACTTGGATGTCGATGCCACTTTGCCACCCACAGAACCCCCTCCGCAAGTTCTGGACGAGCAGTATGCGGTGGATTCTCCTTCTCCTCTTTCTGCTCCTGTGACGCCTACGCCGGTGCATCAATCAGCTGCAGTTTCTTCTGGGTCCCCAGGCTCCTTCTCAATGGTCAGCCCGCATGCACACACTGGATCTACGCTGCAGCCGCGGCCATCACCAACACCGAGGTGGGTCAATGGCCGTCTCAATCCTGCACGCCGCTTGCTCTCCACTTCACCGGGGACGGCTCCGCTTAATAATTCCCCTCCCTTAACCCCTTGCCCCCCTAAGTCTCATTTTGTGCCCTAAAAGCCTTCCTGCATCCCACCTTTGCCTGCTCCCAAGCTGCGGCCAAAGCACTCCGTGCCTGCATTCCGCGCCCCCGCCAGCCTGCAAGCTGACGTATCAGGTCTGCCTGCGTCAACCCCGACCTACATGCGCGCAATTGCCTTTCAGTCTTTCACTTTGCCTTCTGCGGCAAAGCCAGCCGACCGTCTTTCGATGTACGCAGCTATGGAGGCAGCCCGTGATCGACTGGTCTCACGCTGGGTTCTTGCAGTCGTCAGCCTTGGTTCAGCTTCCGCCCTCTTTGTGGAGGCCTCTGCAGCTTCAGACCGTGACTTCTTCATTGCCCGGGTCGTGCTTGTGAATGCCCCTTCCACTCTGCAGCGCTACCTGGATATGTGGTCTGCTTGGTGTGACTACTGCAATATTCGGGCTTCGCCGTGTTTCGACCCTCTACCTGGCGTCTTGTCGGACTGGTTCCGTGCTCGGTCCAGCCTGCAAGGTCTTGCTACTATGCCACTATGCCATTTAAAAGCCTGTCGTGGTTTTGCAAGAAAGCCGGCCTGCCCTTGCTTAAGATACAGCTTGAAGGTCCGATTCCGCGTGCATTCCTCGTGCCTTCCGCCCCGCTTGAGCGTCGTGAGAGTTTGCCCTTCTCGTTGAGCTTTGTGGTATGGCTCGAGGAGCGTGTGCTGGATGTCTCAACGCCCCGCTGCGAGATTTTTATGTTGGGCGTCCTTCTCTGCGCAATCTGGGGCTCCTTGCGCTGGGGCGACTTGCTTTGGGTTCCCCCCGCCCGTTTGCATCTCCAGCCAGAATCCTGCGCGTTGATCGGCATCTGCCTTCGCACTAAAACCACCAAGTCCGGCATGCCTTGGGGAATCTATATGCCTGGCTTGCTAGGCTCCGCCGCTGTGTCATGGCCTGCCCGCTGGCTTTCTGTGGTAAAGCAAGTGCTTGCAGACACTCACGATTTGTGCCCTGATCGCTGCATCGACTTTTTGCCTGCCGTGCTTTCTGATGATCGCATCCGCCCGGTCATCGTCACGATCAAGCAGTCCCGTGGATCCGAGGCCTGCTTTGCCACCAGTGGCGCTTGCATTCCACTGAGCCCGTGCCCGCAGCATTCAACCTAGTGGCCGCTCACAGTGCCAAGACCACTGTTTTATCTTGGGCACGTCAGTTAGATCTGCCTTCGGAACCGCGCCGCATTCAGGGCCATCACCGCCTCTCGGGCTCGGACAAATCCGTTGCTCTCTATAGCCGAGATGACATTGGCCCGATGCTGTCCTGCCAGCGTACCATAGTATCCTGCGTCAGATCCGGCTTCCGCCCCTTGCAACCCACTGCCCGTGGGGCTGCAACGCCCTTGCCGGATTTCCCGGTTCAGTTGGCGCACACAACCATCCTCCCGCGCGTCCGATGGAGAAATAGCCCTTCGCCAGATCTGCCGGTCTCAGGTCCGGATCACCCAGCAGAAGGTGTCGCTTCTACAGCGCCTCCTTCCCACCAAGTTACCCTGCTCACGCCACCGGATGAACCCCCCCTGGTGTCTGAAGTGGTGCCGCAGTTCGACCGCCTGCCCAGCCCTGCTGTATCTAGCTGCTCTTCTGAAGACGACCGCGGCTCCGTGTGCTCCGAGCCTGCCTCTGGGAAGCCGCAGAGGTTGAAGAAGCGGCTTTGCATATTCCGCCCTCTCCTCTTCAAGCACCCCCGCCCCTGCTCTACAATCACCGCTCCAACGTGATACATGCAGGTGCCACGTGCGAGCCACATGCACCGCGCTCCATTTTCTTCTCGTCCGAGTTGAAATGGTTGCGACCTGCTTGTGGCGCCAGCACGGACAATATCGGCGCGCGCAGTCTCTGTCATTCTGCGCCGTCGGGCTCGACCATGTGCCTGCGCGCCGCTTGTGCCGCCTTCTTTGACTCCTGGGACAAGCCGTGATGCCCTCACGCCGCAAAAAAAAAAACCGCGTGCTCTGTGTCTGCGTTAGTGTCTACCAGCACTGCATGCCCCGTCTCCTAGTGCCCCACCCCCCCCCCCCCCCCCCAGCTTCCTTGTGCCAGGTCCTGCTCGAGCTCCTTCAACTCGCTCCTCTTCTTGGTCGCAGTTTTGCCTAGCCATGGAGGCGGCCAACTCTGATATGCGTGATGCCAGGGAAGTTTTCTCCGTGCGGACCTCCCGCCAGCGTGTGCTCATTGCAGAGTCCCTGCTGCTGCTTCTGCTCGCCCTCTCTTGCAACCCACAGCCGCAAATCCTGCTCCGGCTGCTGCGCCTGCTGCCTCAGCTAGCCGTCCGCCGGAACCACCTTCCTGGACTGTCCCGCCCCGCACTGGCCAGATGAACGCTTGCGTGCCTGGCTTGCACAGCTGGACCCGCTTGTGTTGGCACGTGTTCGTGCCTTGCTCCGCCCGCGCGACATTGAACGCCAGGAGTTCGTTTTGGGTTACTGCGAGCAGCTCTGCCCCAATCTCTGTGGCAACGTCTGTGGCCGCCCCATGCTCAATCGTCCGCGCCCACATCAAGACCACTTCCGCCGCGGCTGTCATGCCCAGCGCCGCCTTCAACTGCATACTGTTCAGCTGCCGCCCTGCTTCATGCCGCTGCCACGAGATGCCCCTCCGCGAGATCAAGTTCCCGAGCCGTCCCCCGAGCCGCAGTCCTGATGTCGCGTTTTTTTTTGTCTGTCACACTTGTGTAGCATTTGTACTAAAACACACACGTCTCACCGTCCGCTGCCTCGCTGGCTCGGACCTGGACGTATCCTTTCGCACCCTGATGCACAGAGCAAAAGTCTGTGCCTCACGGTTGCGTTGCAGCTCAGCCGCGCTGTCTGCTTGGATACGCATATACACATAGTGTTCGTGCATGTTCTCACAGTCCTGTTTGATCCGCAGCTTTTTCTTTCTGGTACTTTGTAGCTGCCCCTCCCTACCCCCCCTTCTAACCCAACGTGTTCAGGTGCCATGGCTCACCGCCCACGGCTTGATGATCCTGCTGTGTTGGAGGCCCTTGTCCAGCAGTATTCAGCGCCTGCTACTCTGCTGGGCACTCTCAAGGCTGCCGGCTTTTCCACCCTGAGCTCGCTGGTTTTTGCTGCACCCGAGTCCGCTCAGCTGTCCGCCGCCTGCTTATGGAGGCCCGCCTGCTGCTTCCTTCCCAAGCACTGCCTGCGTTACCAGCATCTGGGTCGCAACCCGCCTCAGCCACTCCGCTGCCTGCAACTTCAGCTACTAAGCTCACTGCCGCCGAGTTTGCCCAGCTCCGTGCCGATTTCACCACCGCATACCCAGGGGAGCTCCTGAATCCTTCTAACACCCCCGTGGAGACCGCCCTTCGCCGCAGTCTGTCCATCTTCGCTACCGCGTTAGCCATGTTGAAGCTTGTGCACCTGCTGCCCGCAAAACGCTTCATGGACAAGTTCGTGAACACAGCTCTCTCTGTGCCCCTGGATCCCGGACTCCGCCCGCCTGCAATGAATGAAATCCTGGCTGCAGACCGCTCCGTCTGGCTGGCTGTGCATGAGTTGGTCCGTGACCACGGCTGGAGCCTGGAAGATTCCCTTAATGAAATGGCCACCTGCCGCCAAGACATTGCCTCCTTGCTGCAGCCCAGACCCAAACCGGCTAGGGCAGCTCCGGACTCCGCCCGCGCCCCTCTCCGCAACCCTCAAAAGCTGACAGACCGACGGTCTCGCTCTGCCCGCACAGACGACCGCCGCAAGCCTGCAGCTAAGGGCAAGGCCAAAGGGCGAGGCAAGTCCCGTCACGACTCTCCCGCTTCCGGGTCGGGCTTTGACGAACTTTTGGAGCCGCAGGCACCTTGTTCCTTTTTGCGTCGAAAATTTGCGAGCCAGTGGGCGAGCTCCGCCAAAATCTGTATTTTGCACCTTTGAAAAGTTCACATGACCTTTTTCTTGATTGCTTCATGTCTGCAGCGTGCATCACATGAGCATGTGGCATGGGAGTGATACAGTCCGAGTTGCTTTGTGACATTTGGCTTGCAAGGGTGGGTGGGCGGGACGCCTCACTGCGCACTGCTGTGAATTTTTCCAACTGGTTCCGGGGCCTTAACAGGTTTGACTTTGAACGGGCCCCCATCCTCTAACAGGTCCGGCCGCTAGGGCCTTGTGCAAGTCGCCCGCGGGGCGGCGGATGGAGAACCAGCGTCTGGTGCCTTACACAGTGCACCGCCAGCAGTGCTTGGAGGACTTGGTTGAAGGCAGTAACGTCTTGGCAACCGAGCTGAAGCTCCTGCAACGTGCTCTCCTGGAGTTGCGCCAAGATTTGGAAGGCCTTGCTTCCAGGGTCCGCAAGCTTGAGGCTTCCTCCGCCTCCTTCTTGAACCGCCTGGATTGATTTTGTGGTTGAAGTGGGGGTTGGGTTTGCCTTCAGGGCTTGTGTTTCATCATGGCCTCGCTTCAGGACCACGCCAAGAGGCCTCGCATTGCATCCGAATCTGCCTATGATGCACACATGAGTTTTTGCTTGAGACGTGCTCAGGGCTCCATGTTCAGGATGCCTTGGGAGGTACCGAGTCCTCCGCAGAGCCTTCTTGATTTTCGGATTCCCGAGGGTAGAGGCCCTCTTCCTCTCGTGCCTAATCATGCCCAGGGTGCATCTTCAGAGCCTGAACCTCTTCTCGCCCAGAGCCTCAGGTTTGCCAGGGTCATACATGATATTGCATGGGAAGTCAAGACCGAGAGGCGCTTAGTTGCTGCCATTCGCAAGTGGACCGCCATCATTTTCCGTTCTCCGGTTTCCTTTGATGTTGGCAGACGTGCAAGTGCTGACGCCCCGCTTGGCGTGCAACTTTCTAAGGCTTTGAGACACGTGTTCGCCGGTCGTGCTGCTGAGACCTTGCACTGCCATGCCGATCCCCTCATCAGGTTTGTGGCCTGGGCTGATTCCAAGGCCATGGTCGCAATTCCATTTCATGAGGAGACGCTCTATATCTTCGCTTGTGAGTGTGAGACAACATGTGCTCCTAGCTTCCTCAAGAGCTTGATGTCGAGCTTGGCTTTTTGTTTGCATATCTTCGGCGTCATGAGTGCGCAGGATTGCTTGTCCAGCATGAGGCTCACTGGTGTTGCCAAGACATGTTATCTCACAAAGAGGAAGAGGCTCCAGAGGCCTCCGCTCACCACCGAGATGGTTTGCCGGATGGAGCGATTCGTTGCCTCTTCGACGGCCGACCGTGTGGACCGTTTCATCTGCGGCTTCTTCCTTTTGTCAGTGTACTTCAGGGGAGGTACTCCGATACGCAACAGATGCATGGTGTCTACGAGGACAAACCCACTGTTGACCCGACTGGTCTGGGCGGGTATCTTCAGGCTGACATATCTCGTACTAAGACGGCGTACACTCTGTTGCGTCGCACTCAGTTCCTTCCCATGGTCGCGCCGAGGTTGGGTCTTTCTGGTGAGGATTGGTTTAGTGCCTGGGTCGGTGTTAGGGGCGATCTTCATGTTCCGGCAAGAGAGGGCCTTCCGGTTCTCCCAGCTATTCTCACGACCGGGCACTGGGCTCGACATCCACCCAGTGCCTCGGTAGCTGCTCAGTGGCTACGCAACGTCCTCCGAAAGTGCGGCTTCTCCGAAGCACAGTGCGCCCCTCTTGGGACGCACTCCTGCAAAGCCACTTGTTTGTCGTGGTGCGCGAGGTTCGGTATCTCTGATCGTGACCAAAGTTACCACACCGCTCCTGGCGATAGGACCGCACATGTTTACAGCCGTGATGCTGTCTCAGTTTCGGTGAGAGCTCTGGAGCGTGTCCTTGCAGACATCCGTGCTCGGCGCTTTGTGCCAGACTCGACTCGCTCTGGCTACTTCCCTCGAGACGGCGAACAGGATGCTGGCTATGATGTGGAGGCTTCCGGCTCTGAGGCCTCCTTGGATGAGGAGGACGACGAGGTCGACCGTTGCGGGCTGGAGGCAGCCCTCGACGAGGTCGTCGATGAATGGTCTGAGCCCTCAGACGCCCCGACCGTTTCTGCTGAGAAGCTTGTCAGGAACAAGGCATCGCGTATGCTGCATCTTCTTGCTGATGAGGGTGGCACTGTTTTGGTTTGCGGCCGAGGATGTACCAGGAATTATGACCGGGTCGCCTCTGTGCCTAGGTTTCTTTTTCCAACTTGCAGCCGTTGTTTTGAGTCAGTTGCCCAAAGTGCTGATGTTGATCCTTCGTGATTAATGCATCGAGAGTTCCAGGACGGTGTGCTTTTTGCCCCATGGAACGTGACGGAGTCAGGTGTGCATAGGCCCCGATTCTCCGTGGTGGCTTTCTCTTTTGGCTAAGGAAGATGTGCTCTGGCCCCTTTCCTATGATATTTTACACTGCAGCTCGTGTTTGCTCTCACGATGTGAGGACCCCTGTCCAATTTCACGTGAGGTGGCAGAGAAAGGTGTGCCCATGTATGCCCCGATTCTCCGGTATTGCAGCTGCGTACGGGCGGTGTGCTCTTGCCCCGCCCGATATCTCCGGTGTGATCCGCTCAAAGAGCGGAGTGCTCGTGGCTCGGTGTGCAGTCGCCCCGACCCCAATGTTTCTACGGATCCCATTCGTGACTGGAGCTGTTGAGAGCTTCCAAAAGAGTACATGCAGCAATCAGATGCTTTGCGATGCGAGTTGATTGTCGCTCACTTGATTGAGTCTGTTTTGATCTTTTCCCTCATGTTCGTTGTCCCCTGTGAGGTGCTTTCTTCGACCGAGATGCAGTAAGGCTCGAGTTGCAAGCATGAGCATCACCGAGAGCGCTGCCAACTTTAGTGCACGGGCCTCGAAGCTGGGGCTCGCTGCTGATGCTCTGCAGCTCCTTGTGGCTGGAGGCGTAAACACTCTTGCCAAGTTTGCGTACGTTTCCAGTTTCATTCCGGGCCAAGCGGATGAGACGCCATTTGTGCTGGCCTTGAAGGATCTTTTCAAGCGGGATCCCACAGTCCCTGAGCTCGCTGTGCTTCGGAGGCTCCACTCAGAGTCTTATGCCTTGGTGGCGGCAGAGCTCAAGTCACAGGTTGAGCGCACAAGCGATGCACCTGCCCGGTGTCTTGCTGCCCCTGATAGGGCGGACCGTCTTGCTCGTCAGGTTGCCAAGTACCCGGGACTTTCAATCTCTGGGCCCAACGAGCCGTCTGACAGATCCGTAGACAGATGCTGCCAGATGTACGAAAACAACCGGCTGACTTATCTTCCTTTGAGCTGGGTCACCAGCAAGGATGACGAGGTTCGCAACTCCAAGGATAAAGAAGACCGAATGCTTTCTGTGGACGGCTCGGGCAACGTACATATCAAGAAGGCCGACGTCAAAGAGGAGGCTGATCTTAGCACGGATCTTTTGCTTCGCTTCGCTCTTACGCGGCGCGGCCTCGCGCTCGAGCAGGCCGGAATCCTTGATTTCAAAGAGCATGAGAAATGGTCGGAGCGTCTTCTGCATGCCCGCTACCGCGACGTGCCCACAGGGTATGCCCGCATCAGTGTCCAGCAGCTACTTCAGGCCGATAAGCAGTTGTTCGTCACGGCTGCCCAGGAGTGCCGCTCGGGAATCCAAACCACTGCCGCCGGCAGGCCTCTCGATGGGGTTTGGATGGTATGTGCCGATAAGTCTGAGGTGGCCCACCTGCTTGCTCCTCTAGCCCAGCCGCCTCCGAAGGCGCCTCGGCTTGAACGACCAGGACCATATGCTGGCGCCGGTCGTGGGCGTGGCAAGGGCAAAGGCAAGGGCAAGGGCAAGTTTCACATGCCCGAGGATCTGAAAGATGGACAGCCCAACACGCCCAAGGGGGTGCCAGTCTGTTTCGATGCGCAGCGTGGCAAGTGCACCCGTCCTCTTGCGGGGAACAAGTGTGTGCGTGGGGCGCACATCTGCTGTGTTTGCTTCCAGCCGGGGCATTTTTACCCAGCGTGCCCCAAACGCAAGGCCGAGTGACTATCGGCCCCGTCAGTTGCTGGTGAGCCGTCTTGCAAAGCGGCGCGCACGTCCGCGCCTGTTTCCACCCAATCTCCTTCTTGCGTGCGTGCTTTAGCCGAGGATGCCGCCGAAGGCCTGCCTCCTCTTCATACTGCCCTTCCTCCCTCTGCGGGCTCCGTCTCTGCTACAGATGTTGAAGCCCGTTCCGGGGAGCTGCTGGATGCTGACTGTTGGTTACAAGGTTCCGATCTCAGTGCCTTGTATCATCTCCTTCCCAAGGAGTCTCCCGTGCGTGGTGACCCTGGTTTGGGGTCCTCTTTTTCGACTGGAGCGTTCGCCCGGATCAAAGTTGGCCTTCGGACGAATGTTCGGCACTATCCCAGGTTCACTCGTCTTGCCGCCCGGTATGTTCGGCAGCAGCTGCCCGAGCATCCCTTTACAAGCTTGGCAGTGTTCAGTGACGTTGCCACGACACCTCATCTTGACGCTAGGAACTCTGCAGTTCCTAATGCTGTTCTTGCCCTGTCTTCCTTTACCGGAGGTGCTGTCTGGGTGGCCAAGGATGGGGGGCCCGACACATTTCTTGTTCAGGGCGAGTTGCGTGACGGACTCGATCTCGATTTGACAGGACATCACGCTGTGTTCTCTGCCAAGCGGCTTGTGCATGCCACGCGTCCTTGGTCCGGACATCGTCTCGTGCTCGTCGCGTTTACCGTCGAGGCTGCTCCTTTCCTGTCTGCCGCCGATTGTGCGCTGTTGCGCGAGCTCGAGTTTCATGTGCCTTCAGCGGCTCAGTTGGCCGATGCCGCCGCTGCTGAGTTTGTGTGTCGCGCATTCCCCCGTGTCCTTGCACGACCAACCGCCACCACTGACTTCCCTAAGTTCCCACCTGATCCCCCCAAATCTTCGTCTCGGCTTGTCGTGGAACTTTGCGCAGGTGATGCCCAGCTTTCCCGGTGCTTCGCTGAGGCGGGTTTTGATACCCTGGCGGTTGATTCTCGTGCCAGCCGCCTGCATGCATGTGCTAAGGTCTGCAACCTGAGTTTGAGCGCTCCCGCAACGTGGGATTTTCTACATTCTGTTCTTCTTCAGCATCCGGTTGTCTTCGTTTTTGTTTCGCTGCCGTTCGGCACTTGTGGCCGCGATTTCCGCGACGCTGCACATTTGGCCGGCTTACCCGGCCTGTCCCCCGAGGCCCAACAGAAACTTGAGTCGGCCGATTTTGTGTATCGTGCAGTGACGCGCCTTTTGCTCCAGGTGCACGACATGGGCATCATGTGGGCGGCTGAGGCCCCCTCTGCGTCTTTGGTGTGGCGCCTACCTTCCTTGCAGCCCTTGGTGGCTCTCGGAGCTCGGGTGTCCTTTGATGCCTGTTGCTATGGGGGTCTTGTTCGCACTTCCAAGAGCATCCTTACCACTGTCCCCACGTTCCTGAACTTGGCTCAGCGTTGCCCTCACGAGAGCCATCCCAAGGCCGCTGCGGGTGCCGCTCACCCGCGCCCTTTGTGTGTGCAGCTGGTGCACCTGCTTTGCAGTTCCTTGGACATCCCTCTTCCTGCGTTGGATCAGTCTCAGCCGCCTCCTGCCCAGGTTGCGGTTGGCCGTCAGCCCCGCGGGCGCCAGTGGTTCCTGAGTTTGCGCGTGTTGTCTCCTACACGGTTCCCGCTCTACCGGCCACTGACCACAAGCGCCGGCTGCTGCGTGCGGTGCTTGATGCCCCTGCGGGCTCCAAGCTTCTTTCCTCCACTAGGATAGGGGGTGTAAGTGGGGATTTAGTTCCTGTGGAGGACCTGGAGTCGCCTACTTTCCGCATTCTTGTGGGCGTTTATCACTCCAAGCAGGAGTTCTGCCGCCTGGCTTTGTCGGCTCCTCACCCGTTTGACTCCATGGATATCATTCCCGACATCCTGAAGACGAGGCTCTTTGAAGCAGCTGAGCGGGGGCCTGACTGGGTGCAGCTGCGGCGCACCGCTGTACTCAAAGAGTGGTTGAGCCTCGCCGCTTCGTTGGAGGATGAAGAGCGCAGACTTCAGAAGTCCTTGGATCCTGGGGTTAAAGGTGTACTTAAGGGCAAACGCACATTACTACTCGAGGCCTTGGCGGCCCGAGTCGGCTGGCCTGACCAAGGGGTTTTTGAGTCGCTTCGTTCGGGGTTTGAGCTTGTTGGCAGCTTAGAGCACACGGGGGTCTTCGCCAAGGATCTCCGTCCAGGCTCTGATTCTGTGGGGTCTTTCGTCGACTCTTTCAAGTTCCTCAAGCCAGCACTCTTGGGCAAAGTTGCTTCTTCGAGGTGTGGCGCTCTGGAGAGAGAGGTATGGGACAAGACTCTTGAGGAAGTTCAGGAGGGCTTCCTCTCCGGCCCTTTTCGTGAGGAGGAGGTTGACTCCATGCTAGGGCCCGCGTGGGTCCCGGTGCGCCGTTTTGGGGCTGAGCAGAGCTCCGCCGGCAAGAGGAAGGTTCGTCCTGTTGATGACTACAGTGAGAATCGTGTGAACTCTGCATTCTCCTACTGCGATCGCATTGACCTTCGGGCCTTGGATGAGCTTGTGGCATCTTGCAGGCTCTGGACGAGGTTCATGCTTGGGGGTGGTCCCCTCGAGGTTGCCCTTTCTGATGGCACTATTTTGAGAGGCCGTCTCCATCCCGGCTGGTCCTCGTCTCGGGCGTGGCAGCCCTTGGTGGCGACTCTTGATCTGCGTTCCGCATACAAGCAGGTCCCCCTTGCCCCATCCAACCGGGCGTTCTCAGTCGTCTCCTTGAAGGACCCCGAGTCCTCGCTGGTTTCGTTGTTCGTGGGACGGTCGCTCCCTTTCGGCAGTACCTCCAGCGTAATCAATTTCAACCGCCTTTCTCGGCTTCTTTGCCGTTTGGGGAATGAGCTTTTCCTTTTCTGGTCCAACTATTACGACGACTATCCCGTGGTCACCCCGGCTGCCCTAGCCGATTCTACCCGGGACACTATGCTCACCTTCATGCGCCTTGTTAAGTTTGACACAGCTGAGGAGAAGCTCAACCCTTTCAGCCCCTCGGCCTCTGTGCTGGGCATTGAGATTGACTGCTCGGCTTCGCCTGAGGGTTGGGTTGACGTTCGGAATAAGGACGGTAGGGCTGGTGAGGTTTGTATGGGGCTTGAGCTTCTCCTACAGGAGGGTTTCCTTCTTCGCCGGGACTTGCCGCGCATACTTGGTCGCATCCAATTTGCAGACGCCCAGGTTTTGGGGAAGGCCGGGAGATGCTATGAAAGAGATCAGGAACTGGTCCTCTTCGCACTCTGCAGATGTGTTGCGTCTTGATGATGTTGCAAAGCGTTCCTTTCGAGTCTTGCTGGACAGGTTCGGAGCGTCGCGCCCTGTACGAGTTCCGTGTTCCGTGGCTCCTGAAGTTATGCATGTGTTCACTGACGGATCCAGTGAGGGCCGTAATCACTTCATTGGGGGTATACTCTTCTCGAGCCTTTCGGGGCCTACCAGGTTCTTCGCGTGCGAGGTGCCCGCTACCCTGGCGGAGCGCTGGCAGTCCGACATGATGCACATCATAGGGCCCGTTGAGACCTATGCAGTTGCTGTTGCCCGTTGCGTTTGGGATTTCGCTTTAAGGGGTTGCCGGTGTGTCTACTACATCGACAACTACGGCGCACTTGACGCTTTTATCAAGGGATTTTCGAGCAATGCCTACATGTCCGACATTCTGCTGTCATTTGAACAGCGTGAGCTCTCCGGCCCGTCATGGCCGTGGTTCACCCGTGTGCCTTCCGAGAGTAACTGTGCGGACGACCCTTCGCGTGCGCAGTTCTCCCATCTTGTTCGTCTTGGGGTCCTTAGGGATAAGGGTTCGTGCCCCGTGCTTGGCTGCGAGCTGGGCGACCTTTCGCCAGCCTTGTCAAAAGTGGGGGAGGCGCTCAGTTCGCCCCCGTCACAAAAAGAGATGCTTGAGTTTGGTCCCTAAAGTTGTGCTACCCAAGGGTTCCTTTAGTTAATGATTCCTCGCTGACCTGCACTTCCCTTGTGCATTCTTGATGTGTCTTGTGCTTGATGTGTGCATCACGTTTTTGGCGGTTTTCAGAGCAAAAAGAACTTTTGGAGCCGCAGGCACCTTGTTCCTTTTTGCGTCGAAAATTTGCGAGCCAGTGGGCGAGCTCCGCCAAAAACTGTATTTTGCACCTTTGAAAAGTTCACATGACCTTTTTCTTGATTGCTTCATGTCTGCAGCGTGCATCACATGAGCATGTGGCATGGGAGTGATACAGTCCGAGTTGCTTTGTGACATTTGGCTTGCAAGGGACGCCTCACTGCGCACTGCTGTGAATTTTTCCCCGCCCACCCGCCCTACGAAGCGCAGTTCCGTGCGTCTTACTGTTTCATCCTGCGTTCCTTCTGGCATTGCACATCGTGCCTGCTTGTTGAGCGCTTCCACTTTGCGCTCCGTGCTTCGTACCGCGCACCTTGGTGTGCCCCGTGTTGCGTGCCCAACTGCTTGTCGAGCGCCTCTTCTGGGCGCTCCCTGCGGCCTCAAGCCTGAGGTCCCGCTGGGCCGCATGCGCGCGTTCTTGGACCATAGGAGCCCATGCCAAAGTGCATGTGGCCGTGCGCCTAACCCGACCGTCCGGCGATGCCGGCTCAGTTCGCCCCCGTCACAAAAAGAGATGCTTGAGTTTGGTCCCTAAAGTTGTGCTCCCCAAGGGTTCCTTTAGTTAATGATTCCTCGCTGACCTGCACTTCCCTTGTGCATTCTTGATGTGTCTTGTGCTTGATGTGTGCATCACGTTTTTGGCGGTTTTCAGAGCAAAAAGCGGTTTGAAAGGGTTGGCAAGCGCGAAGTGTGCAAACGGTATGCTGTGGGCAAATGCACCAATCCTGCCTGCCGCTACGCCCACGTCTGCCCTGTCCCGCTTCCATCCGGCAAGCCATGCGGTCAGAAGCACACGGCCTTGGAGCATCAGTCAACAGCGCATTGACTATCGGTCGAGAGTCTCTCATCTGACACAGATCCAGAAGACCCCATGATTCCAAAGGACCACACCCGCTCCGCTGGGGCATCCGCTACTGTGAAACGCTCCGCTTTCTCTGCTGCATCAGCCATGAGTCCAGATGTTTCCTTCCCCCCTTCTCCGCCACTTGCCTGTCCTGGCATCGTACCACGAGCGTTGCCATGTCCAATGCACTAACCATGGCCCTGCTTTGCCTGCACCTCCGCCGTCTCGGGCCCCGCCATCAGCCACTCTTGCACCGTCGGAACCAGCCAACTTTGCGTCTCTCCCCGGTCCGGCCCCTGGTCATACCGACGCCCATGGCACAGCCATCCCTGCGTTACGCCTCTTCTTGGACCTTTTCTCCGGTGCTTCTGCGCCAGTGCACCATGCCGTGTCCGGTTTGCTGTTGTGCCGCTTCGAGCCTGTGGACCTTCTGCGCGGTTCCGCTCTGGATCTGTCTGATGATGATGTCTACCGGGACCTCTGCCGTCTTTGTGCCTCTGGTTTGGTCGGAGCCTGCTGTGCTGCTCCGCCTTGCTCCTCCTTCTCCAGAGCTCGCTTGTGACCGCCTGGTCCAGCCCCCATTCGAACTGTCGCATTCCCAACCGGTCTGCTTCACCTTGACAGTCGCCAGCTGAAAGAGCTGCGGCTGTCCAATTCCCTGCACAAGCGCACCCGCCACCTACTGTCACTGGTGGCCAGCCGCAGCGGCCTCATCTTCCTGGAGAACCCCGTTTCTAGCCTGTTGTCCGAAGTTATGGCTTGGGTCCGAGCCTTTGCCCCGTTTGGAGCTTCAGTTGCAGCCTGCAGTCATGGTATGGATGCCGACAAACACTGGCTCTTCTGGTCCAACAGACCCTGTGTTGCTGCATTGGCATCCTCCTGCCCGCACCTGAAGGGTTTCCACAGGTTGCTCCGCAGCAAACGTCTGCCAGACGGCTCCTGGTCGACACGCTTGACAGCCACGTATCCGCAATCGCTTGCAGAAGCTATTGCCGCTCTCTGCGTGCCCTTTCTGTCTGTCAAAGATACCGTTTACACTCGCAACAGCTGGAGTGCGCTGCTCCCACCGCGACTGCCCTGGTCTGCTCAACACCTGCCAGTTGAGGATGGGGCCGGTTGTTCCAGCACGGCTTGTCACGTCACTCCGCAAGGAGACGACATCTTCCGCCCGTTACGCCGTGCTTGGATGGAGCGCCTCATCAAGTCCGGTCTTGTTCACACGATTGTCTCCGCGGTCTCCTCCGGCGACAAAGCATCCCCACTTTCAGACGAACAGCTGTTGCCTTTCTTTGACGACCTACGTTCCTTCCTGCACGTTGAATGTGACGCCACCTGGTCCAACTTGCTGCACATTACTCCAGGGCAGCCGTTCCGTATCTCTCTTTGGCGCACGCTCTCGCTCCTTCTGAAAGACCCAGATGCGGACCTCTTCCCGCACTTGCGTGAGGGAGTTCCGCTTGGGTTCGCCCAACCGATACCTCCCTGCCCAGTCCTGACTCTTTCGGAATTAACTGCTCCAGTTCCGGAACTCTGCCACTGTGAGTCCGCCTGGAAATCTGCCTTGGACCATCCCGGTTTTGTCGACGATCTTCTCAAAGAAGAGCTAGCGCAGGGCTGGATTTGTGAGGTGCAGGGAGGTGATGCCGAACTCAAGTCTCGAAAGAGCCAGTCCGCCGTCGGGAAGCTCGGCCTGGTTATCTCGGATTCTCGCCCTCCGCGGCTCGTGGTAGACAGTTCCATTTCTGGGGTTACTGCGAGTACCCGTCTGCCCAATAGGTCATCTAATCCCACGCTCATGCACGTGCGACGCTGCCTTCCGCTTTCGGATGCCCGCGAGCAACTTTGTGCTCTGGTTCTGGACGTCAGCAAAGCCCACCGCCGGCTCAAAATTCTGCCTGCTGACCAAGGGTTACTCTGTTTTCGCCATCGTGGCCGCTTGTATCAGTGTCTCACGCTCAATTTTGGAGCTAGGGCGTCTGGGTTTTACTGGTCCCGGGTGGCAGGTCTGCTTGTGCGCCTGGTGCACCGCATCTGGTGGGTGAGTCACTCCGCACTAATCTATGTGGACGACCTTCTGTGTCTGCTTGAGAAAAGCTCCGCCCCGTTGCTGGCTTCCGTTCTCGTTGTGCTCCTGCAGGTCCTTAACGTGCCCATGGGCCCATGAGCTGGCACAAGGCCAAACTCTCCTCTTCCGTTGTGTGGATCGGCTGGCAGTTTGACTTCCGCACCTACACAGTCCGCCTGGAACCTGAAAAGCTCCAGCGCTTGCACCGTCTACTTCATGAGTCCCGTCGACACAATAAACTGCCGACGTCGACCCTAGAGAAGTTGACCGGCAAGCTCCTCTGGTTGTCGAACTTGCTCCGCGCCTTCAGGCCCTCGCTTGCTCCTCTGTATCAAGATCAGTACTGCCCCCCGCTGGTGAGCATTGCGCTTTCACCTGCTTCCTGGAAGCGCTTGGTGGACTGCCTTTCCGATGACCTGTTGGTCCGCTCACCGTGTGGTCTTGCTGCTGCTCCGGTTTCGTGTCGCGCAGAATGCCGTCACCAAGCGATCCGAGTTGCCTGCCTTTCCCCCATCCAGCCGACGTTTGTGGGTTCAAATTTCGGATTTGTCGCACACGCATCGTGTCATATCAGATGCTTCCCGGGAGGTTATGGATCTCTGGCTGGACATCTGCAAGTCCGGTACTGACTTCCGCGCTCTGCTCCTGGCCCCGCACTTTCAGTGTGAAGCGTTCGCAGACGCCTGCGCAACATCCACGTCTGCTGGACTTGGAGGTTTCGTGAGGTTGCCCAATGGAGCCTGCCTGTTCTTTCAGTACACCTTCACACAGCAGCAGCTGCACGATCTCTTTCAATGGTTCCCTGCAGACGAGCCGCCGCAGCATTATATAGCAGCCTGGCCCAGTGCGGGCTCCTGCACTTGCTCTCTTGTCTGCTGCCACCTGGTCACCCCCCTGTCCACGTGACTTTCCGTTGCGACAATTCCGCTGCTGACTCGGCCTCTTGGAAAGGCCTCTCACTTGCCCGAGGCTTCAGTTCCTTGCTCCGCTCCTTTTTTCTGCTGCAGGAACGCCAATTCATTTCCGTTCATGTCGATCACGTTCCGGGATTCCGCAACGATCTCGCTGATAGCCTCAGTCGTGGGTATGACCCATCCCTCCTGGGTTTTTTGCCTGCCCAACGAACCGAGGTGCCTTGGACAGCCTTCCCGTCCGCGTTCTGCACCTGCACATATCCACTTGAGAAGGACCTGTCCAGCTGCCTGGCTCCTGCTTGATGAATGCTGGCCTGTTGTACCCCTTTCGGGTCAAGCTGAAGCCTGAAACCTTTGGAGAATCCGTCCAGCATTCTGTCCTTGCCCGGCTGACCTTCGGTCTCTCCGGATACTACGGATCTGCGTCCGCGTATTCACCACCGTGACAAAAGAAGGGAGCTTCCGGAGTGTTCTTCTTTTGTTTAGTCCCAGTACATTCGTAACGGACTAGTGTCTGCAGTGAACGTGTATGTACTTGTACAGGGGTGTTTGCTGCATGCACGCAACGGCATAGCATGTACGCCTGCGAGTCTGCCCGCCCGCAGTCTTGGCTCGCAGGTTGGTAATGCTCTTCGGTGCTGTCCGTTACGTGCAAGCAAAAACTTTACCGCCACCACCCCTCCTCCTTCCGTCTTCCTTGCCGCACGCCTTACTCGCTGTGGCTGACCTTCGGTCTCTCCGGATACTACGGATCTGCATCCGCGTATTCACCACCGTGACAAAAGAAGGGAGCGTCCGGAGTGTTCTTCTTTTGTTTAGTCCCAGTACATTCGTAACGGACTAGTGTCTGCAGTGAACATTTGGGTTGCAAGTGGTGGCGTGGGATGCCTTTTTAAACACATTTGGGTTTGCAAGTGGTGGCGTGGGATGCCTTTTAAACACATTTGGGTTTGCAAGTGGTGGCGTGGGATGCCTTTCAAACACATTGGGTTTGCAAGTGGTGGCGTCGGATGCCTTTTAAACACATTTGGGTTTGCAAGTGGTGGCGTGGGATGCCTTTTAAAACACTTTTGGGTTTGCAAGTGGTGGCGTGGGATGCCTTTTAAACACATTTGGGTTTGCAAGTGGTGGCGTGGAATGCCTTTTAAACACATTTGGGTTTGCAAGTGGTGGCGTGGGATGCCTTTTGAACATTTGGGTTTGCAAGTGGTGGCGTAGGATGCCTTTTAAACACATTCGACGGCGTGCAGTTCGCCACGTTGGGCAAAGCTGTTGCAATTTGGCGTCATACCAGCACGCTGCGCTAGTCAAAGCCAACGAAGAGTTTGCTGCATTTTGGCTGACCCAATTGCGGCAGAACACGTGCCACGCGAAAGCGTTGGAGTCCTCTGTTGCCTTGCAACAGCAAGCTCGGATTCGAACAAAACGGTTGCCCAGTAAACCAACAGATCACTCTTGTCCCGCGATTTCACTTCCGTAGTGCTCTCGCCATTGTCATCTTCCAAATTATGCTCAAAACTTCAAAGTTTGAGGGGTTAGTTCAAGGGACTTCAAGAAATGGAGAGTGGAGCCATTCGGGGATTTTTCATTGGGATCCCCGTTCTCCGAGTCAGATGCGTTGGGCCATTGGGGTGTCAGGGTAGGGTCCCTGCGGAATGCTTGAACAATACAGTTTTTCATTGTTGTTTTGTTTCTGGTTGTTTTCCAGATCAGTCCTCAGGAGCCAAAGCACAGGCAGATATTATTTCGGGAGGGAGTAATCCACACCACATGAACCCTGGAGGCTCACAGCTCTTGACAGAGAGCTTTACAAAGCTTGCGATGGAGACCGGCACCACGTGCTGCAGTGGAGTTCTGGGGTTGTTGTGGATGGGCGCCCGCCGCAAACTCCATGGTCAGATTGCATTTTGATCTCAGTGCTTCAGCGATCTTCAACTTGACACTAAACAAATTCTGATCTCTTGCACCCCCAAGCCACTACGAGGACCTCCGAGGACCCCCGCCCCCCACACGGAGTTTAATGGCACACCATGTCAACAAGCTTGCAGGGACCTAAAGGCTCCGATGCAGTCCGAACTGCCTGTCCTGTGTTCTTGCTGTTGATACTGGACTCATGCTGGATACTCTTTTTTGTGTTTCGGCTTGTGGACACCCCGCGTGAAACCGCAGGCATCGCAAAAGATCGTAATGATTACGTCGAGATTCTGTTCTGAAACTGGTCCCGAATTTGGACGCCAGTGCTCTGTCCTACCGCTGCTTGTACAGGTGGTGCATGCATAATTCTACAATTCTTCGCCGGCTATCCAAGAAGCCCACGTTGAGTGCTCCTGGATTAGAGCTTGCACCATCTTCCCGACATGCTTGATTGGTTTCGGCAAATCCGAATCAATCGTCTTCCCAAGCTTTGTCGGCTTGTTCTTTCTTGGATCGATGTTCGTGCCTTCGACTGTCGCAGAAGGTGTGAGCCCGGCCTTGCTTGGGGAATATGATGCACATGGATATGTGTCATCTTTAGCATGTTCGCTGCTACTTGGCTGCTTAGCTTGCAGTAGTAAGACTGGTTTTGCAGTGCACAAGTTGTGACCACCTGTCTTTTTCAAGCTGGCAGCAGACCAGACAGGTGTAGTCCACCCATAGTCACATGGTCTATCACCTGCCCGTGTGATCCTGCGGCTTGGGCCAGCCCCATCGACCCATCAATTGGCGCCCGGCCCGAAGGTTTCAGCTGCCAGCCGCAACACAGTAGCAACGAGGAGACAACAATACCACCACGCTGGGAAATTCCACGAAGAGAAAATGCCTTGCGATCCAGCGCAACAGTGAGAAAGCGTCGCCAAGAAGAATGTTGACCACGAGCAATGGGGATACCACCAAGGTGAGAATGCGTCGCTACGAACAAATTGACTGCAAAGTCCGCTGGCCGGGCTACCACCACCATGAGCGCCGGCAAGAAATTGACCACGACCTCGCGACGATACCTCTACGGTGCGAACCATGGGAATGCAACCGCGAAATATCGGCACCGAGCACAGCCCAAGATTGCGGCGAAATGTCCGCACTTTTCCGAGACCCAGTAGTTTCTAGTTAAGAGAATCTTGCCAGGCGACAGACTGGAATTCCAGAAATATTTAATTAGTCATTCTTCCTTCCTTCCGTCTTCATCTAGGTTCATCGTTTCCAACTTTTTGGTCATTCTGCACTATCGATTTTTTAGCATGTTTGTTGATGTGTTTTTGTCGTTTTTTATTGTGCATTTTGCCGCTCCCGGAAGCTTTCTGGAGGCTCCAGCAGGCCCGGGGACGCCAAAATGCGAAGCCTTTTCTTTTTTTCTATCATATTTTGGCATTTTCTCATTTCTTTTTACATTTTGCGGGAGCTGCCCGAGGGTGCCAAGCTCTCCGGAGGCTCCGGGAACGCAAAAACGCGAAGCCTTTTCTTTTTTCGTCATTATGTTCTATTTTTTTCATTTTGACGGGAGCTACCCGGAACCTTCATGATAAAATAACGAGAATACACCAGGCTACCAGAACTACCCCAAATGACAAATGGGTAAGTTTTCACGACCTCAGTCTGTGGCTGTAAGAATCTCTTGACGGTAGTTCTTTTGACCACAGGGATGGGCCCAAGCCGGGCGCCATCTTGTCGCCAGTGTATGGCTAGAGCCCTCAACCGGGGGCAAGGATGTAGATCTGTTCTCGCATGGTAAAAAACTTATCATTATCTGTGCGCTCAGATGTTGACGAGCAACCAACTGGGAAAAGATGCTGAAAAAGGCTTCAGGAGGCTTAGCGGTTTACAGTCTCAAAGGAGCTTATCCTGAAAAGGGGCTTAGAGGCTTGTAAATTTCCCCAGCTCTACCCCCCGCCATGAGAATGCAGCGCCGTGAATCCCGCAAGTCCAAGCTTCAATGAGAGTTTTGGCCATTTCCGCCTTCCGGTTGCGCCCGCGCAGCCGCAGGCGCACCACGCGCTAGACTGGCAGCCGACGTGACTGACGCTGCCGATGAGGAGGCCGTCTGCGAAACGGCGCCGGGCACACGCGTGCGCAAACGTGCGACGGGGAGATCTCCCGCTCGTTGCCATGCAGCGATCGCTCTTGGCACGGACGAACCCTTCGCCGCTTTGTCCGATCCGGCTCTGCGGGCCGCTCTGCGGGCCGCTAGCGGTGCCGCTGCTGGGGTGCCGAGCGTGTGAGCAGCACAAACTGTGGCTCGACGATGTGGAGGCGCTCGCCACTGGTGACACCTTCCGCGTCTCGTCTCGCGCAGCAGTTTGCGCTGCCGACCTCGACTCTGCGGCGACTATTGCGTCCCGTTCGTGCGTTTGTGGTTCGGACAGCAGTCCACGCACGCCGACGGGCAGAGGCGCACCATCAATCAGGGCGAAGGGTGCGAACAAGGGGGACGCCTTGGCACCGGGCGCTGTACGCTCTGGGCCAGCATGACGCTTTTGTCGCTGCCGACGAGCAGCTGCTCCCCGGCGAGTGTCCAGCGGCCTTCCTTGACGACATCTACCTCGCCACCACGCCGGCGCTCGCACGTTTTCGTCACCTCCTCCATCGAAACGCAGGCGGGAACCTCAGTAAACACGAGTGTACAACCGTGCTGGAGGGCCTGCTCCTTTTGGCATCGCCGAGCGAACTGAGACTGAGCCAGGGTTCGTTGTCTTGGGCACGCCGCTTGGGCACCCACGGTTGGGCACCCACAGTATGTCGCCGCCCACACCGACGCGCTTGCTCGAGGAGGCGGCTGCTGCAGGAGCTCCCCTTGCTGCCCGACCTCTCGTGTGCCCCCCGCCATGCGCGCCTCGCCGCGAGCTTACCACCCCTCCATCCCGCCTGACTTTTCGAGCTGTGCTCGTGGCCACGACGACGCGGTATGGCGATGCCTGCTCGCGCTGCTGGGCGAAGTGGACCTGCACGGGCAAGCCGCGGCTCGTGCGCAACTGGCGCTGCGCCATGGCGGCCTTGGCCTGCGCAGTGCGGTCCGCCATG